ACCTGAAAAAAAATTTTCAGTACTTTTCCTGGACAAATGCAAAAATAATTTTATTATAGAAGTAAGTAGGCAAGTGAGTTAATGTACAGAATTTCATTTTATTGGCCTTTTTCTCCAAGCATGTTTATATTCCTTAAATCACAAATATTTTTAAAAATTAATTTTCTTAAGGTATAAATCACACATACTGTTTATTCATTTTAAGTGTACGGTTCAATAAATTTGTAGAGTTGTGCAATTATCCCAATATAATTTATTTTTGTTTCTTTTAAGGGATTTTAAAGTAAAAATCACAAACCTAGTATTTTCTTTATTTTTAAAATTTAATTTTTTTATTAGTTTATTTTACTCATGATAGCAGAAAAGAGGGAAAGGATCTTGGGCATGTGTGCAGGGACTTAGTATATTTTCAAGCTGGTCTAGAGATCTGAACTAATAGTCAGCAGTATGGCTTCCAGTGTTGCAATTCAATTTGATGCTAACTATACCAGCAGTCATTTTTTTTTTTTGTTTTTAAGTTTGGTAGAAGGTGGGGACTAGTAGATGGCATAATGGTTATGTTACTGAACTCCCACGTAGTCAACCATGGTTCCAGTTCTGGATGCAGAGGCTCGAAACTCATGCTGGGCACATGTGTATGTGTGCCCAAAAAATCCCAAGAGGAGAATAAAGGAAAAGGGATTGTGGCATGGCCATTCCACTCTGTGGGGTAATTTCTTACTTTCTGTCTCTCAAGCAAGTGCACACATCCTATAGCAAAAATCTTTCTTTAAAAAAAAAAGTTTGCTAGAGGGTGTGTGTGCTTGCTGGAGAGAGAGAGAAGAAAGCACCTCCCAAGGGGAATGGACATACTCCTCCCATCTCTCCTTTTGGGGATGTTGGGCACACATACACTCCTGGAATATTTTTCACGCCTCCAGGTTGGCATTTGAATTATACAGTCAGCCATGTGGGATCTAGCTACCTTGAGCACCATGCCACCTGTCAGCCTAGCCTTTGGTTTTTTAAAGAATAAATGATTTGGTGTTTTTGTGTCCTCCAGATTTCAGTTAGAGGCCCCCTTTCGTACCTTGACTTATTAATATAAGGAGACTTCAAAAATGTTTTAAACAGTAAAATTATAGCTAGCATGAGTTTATTTCGGTGCACAACATTTGTAATTTTGCAGTTTTTCCATAATACACTGTGCCTTTTCCACAAGCTTTTTTAAGACCTTGCTTGTGTATGTCTTCCGTGGCATTTATTTGGTGGTCCTGACGGAATGCTCATGCAGGGCACCCGTAACTGAGCATCTTGAGCAATAAGAAAGATGATAGGCTGTTGCCTTTTGCAGATCGACAAGGCCATAGTGGCTGTCACCACCTGTGGGGCTGTGGCAGAGGGGATAAGTAGGAAGTGGGAAAGAAAATGAGATGTGGGTAGAGTGGAGGAGATGAAGACAGATGGGGAAGGGGAAGAAAAGGGGAAGAGATGGCAGACATAATGAGAAAGTCATCACAATTCTAAAAAGATGTAAATAAAAAACTTGCTCTCTTTTTCTGAGTCATAGAACTTACATGTTAAAATCTGCAAATTAAAAACAAAAAAGCTCCAGGGTCAGTTTTAGGGTAGTTCTTCAGGTTTCTTCCCCAAGTGTTTCTGTTTTTCTTTTGTGAGTTTTCACCCCTTTCTCCAGTCTGAATTTTAGTTTCACACCTTACCTGGTAGGTGCTTCATTATCTGTGGTGTAGTGTTACTGTGTGGCTGAAAGACCTGTGTGGTAGGGTGTTTCTGCCACTTACAAAGCACAGGAGCATAATTGCTCTAGGGGTGAACTGCAGGTAAATTTCAGATATTCTATTAGCCCATCACTATTGCCATCCAAAAAAAAAAAAAGCTGAATCATAACTTTCCATGGTCATTGAGATCTTTAGGTATCAGAGCTGTGGCTCACTGGTGTGTGTGTCTGGTTTTCTCAGGAAAAAAAAATGCACTTGATTTTAAAGTCCAGCCAGAAAGATATTCCTGTTGGCTAGTTATCTTTGCCCACTTTAGCAATTGGAATCCAGTTTCTGAAGCAAGAGTTGAGCAGTCTTCATGGTTAAAAAATAATAATAATAAAAAAATAAAAACAACCCTAAGTAGATGTGTTTTTCATAGCTCTGTCTCATGGACCTGTTCTTTGAATACTTAATATAAAGCAGATAATATTTCAGACACGTCTCAGTAGTATGGAGAAGTGGTAGGATAGGTACAGGCTTTTGATAAATGAACAAAGTCATGAATGGAATGAATGATATGTCTGGTCGTTGTGTGGATATGTGGTCCTTTGTTTCAGTTTCTTGGAAGTTTCGAGTAGTCATTGTTGAATGTCAGAAAGTAAAAGATTTAGAAAAGCTCATAAAAATTTGTCTATATCACACTTTGAGTGTTAGATAAAGCCTAGAGTCCTACCTGTTGTCTTTTTTCCCCCATTTTCCAAGTATTGCTATTTTCCACTACTCTAAGAATTAGATTGTCTTTAATCTACACAAGAGCTGTGTACTTGGCACATAGTAAGTGCTCAGTAAACATGGTCTAGGTGGCTTTCGGGAAACACGAATTTACTATTACTGGTCCTTTTATTGAGTATATATCTCTATTAGTTGTAGTGTTTTCACAATCCCTGGGGATTTTTGCTTTTCTTCAGAGAGATGAATTATTTCACTTTGTCAAATATTTTATTAAAGAGTAAGAGAATAGATGGGATATCTATAAAGACTTTAGGATTACTTCTTAAGCTCTTGTTTTGAAACAGAAACTCCTACAATTAAAAATAAATCAAAATGTATAGTTATGATGTTCAGAGTCTATTAAAAGCATAAAGTGTAATGATCTATTATTTGACATTATTCTTTCCATTAGTCATAGGCACAAAGTACAGCTTTCTGTTAGGAAACAAAAGAATACCACATTGTAGATAATGAGTTTCCTTTCCCTCATCACCTCTCCACTCCTCCTTCCTTCAGTCTCAGAGGTGGAGGTGTTAATCGCCATACTTAATCTCAGTAATTGTATATTTGAGAGTTTTGGAATGGGGACTAGATAGTTCAAGGGAAATTCCATAGGTAATTTATAGCTCTTTTATGTATGAAATAGTGTGATAGTTAAGCTTCAATAAGAGAAGAAAGTTAGCTGAATTTTTCAACTGAGATGAATCCAAATAAGACTCCTCCTAGCCACACAAAGTACGTATTTGACAGCACAATCTCTTTGGCTCTTCATTCACTAAATCTGATTGAATGAAGGTCCAAAGAGACCTTTGTTAGACATTATTTGAGTCTGTAGATACAAGAGTGTTCAAGTGTATTTAGTTAGGAATAATATTGACATTTTGGGGGTACTTGTCTAAGTACTTATGTATGTCCAATTATAAGTGAATACCCCCATTCAGAGACTCTGCTGTCTGATGTTTCCAGTATTACAAAAATTATTGTTCACCCTCTTTAGAACTGAGTTTGCGTATGGAGGGAATTTCCTATACTTTCCACTTTAATTTTTAAAAAGAAAAATAATTTAAACTCAAAGGTTTTAGTTTTTCTATTAAAAGACATACCTGTAATTCTTAAGCTCTATTCCTAGTGAGAATTGGACTGTTTTTTTTTTTTATTTATTTAATTTCAGTTTTTTAGAGAGAGATTTTCGCTGTAGGGTACATGTGCTCACCAGAGAGAAAGGAAATGAGAAATCCCCCCCGGCCTCCCCAGGTGGATGGCCATGTTGCAGTCTCTTTTCTTCTATTCTCCTCTCAGGATTTTGGGCACACACACGTGCCTGACATGATTTTTTTTTTTTTTTTTTTTTTTTTTTTACCCCACCGGCCTTTGCACTAAACCCCAACAGTTGACTACATGGGAGTCTAGCGACATAACCATTATGCCATCTGCAGGTCCCAAGAGAGTTGGACTTCTTTTTTTTTTTTCCCCCGCTATAGGGTGTGTGCGCTTGCCAGACAGAGACAGAGAGACAGCGGGAAATCACCCCCCAGGGGGGATGGTCACGCCGCAGTCCCTTCTCTTCCATTCTCCTCTCGGGATCTTGGGCACGCATGCACATGCGCCTGGCGTGAGTTTTAAGCCACCGGGTCCGGGACACAAACCACGGTCAACTACATGGGAGTCCAGCGACATAGCCATTATGCTAACTGCTGGTTCCCAAGAGAGTTGGACTTTAAGAATTTTAGTTACCAGAGTGCATTTGTGCTTTCCAGAGAGAGAGGAAGCATCTCACTATAGAGCATGGTTACAATCCCGTCTCGTTCATTTCTCCACTTCAGTTGGGATTTTGGACACACATGCACACATGCTGTGTGTGTTTTTCAAGCCATCAGGGCCATGGTTTGAACCTACAGCTAGCCATGTGGGATCCTAGTGGCTCTCTTAACCACTAGGCTACAGGAATAGCCCAGACAGTTGTACATGTTTATCTCTTTTAAATATGCAACCTTTTATGGTCAGAATTAAAATATGAACACTGTTTGGATTTCCAGAAGGAATGTAAACATTGAATTCTATATGTCCTTTCCATGTCTAACAGATATGAGGGGGTAATTTTAAAACAAGTACTTCTAGGGAATTATTTCAAAAAGCATTTATATAGAAAAACAGTACGGAGAAAAACAGCAGGTGGGATAGATTGTGATTTTTGTTTGTTAGTACTAGAGGAAGATGTTTGGTCAAATCGTACCACTGACTTGAAAGTGAAATTTTAGCTGTTTGTGCCAGTTGTAGCGGAACATCCTTCATGGGGTTGCAGAGATGGTACCTGCAGTTGGATGCCCGGTTATTCCTCAGCATAATGGACCTCAGTGTACCTCAGACATCTAGTCATCCACCACCTGAGGCTTGTATTTGGAAATCCAGAAGCCCCCCAAATGCTGTTTTTTTTGCATGTATATGAAGTTAGAGGACATGTTAGGAAAAGCTGTTCTTGACCAAGTAGAAAACAAATAATTGTATTCTGTTTCTGATCTTCATTTATAGCACCAGCAACAAGTGGTGCAGGCTGTGGAACGGGCCAAGCAGGTGACCATGGCAGAACTGAACGCCATCATTGGGGTACGTGGCCTTTCCATTTTAGCTCTGATCTTAGTGTTTGTCATCAGCTTTCTTTCTCTCTTAAAACCTTGTTCCATCAAAGGGACAATAAGCAATAGATAACTACAAAGTGAAATGAAGTGCTTTGCCTTCGATCTCATTTGCAGTGATGGCTGCCCCAGAAACGGGATCACATTCTCACCAACTTAAGTCGATGTGCTCCTGTAAACTCTCCTGCAAGGAGACCGACTGGATGATTCCATTTCATAGTATTTCATCCTTTTCAGTCAGCTTCGGTTGCTAAACTTAGGCCAAAAAAGAAGATACAGATTGCCCTGACACTAAAATGACTGGGTTTCTTTTATCTTTCCTAAAATGATTACATAGAGTATCTTAATATTATTTTTAGTGAAATGTACATTTTCACCTCTCCCCTGCTAGTTACTCTTCCTCCACTGTGATGAGTGGTTCTTGTAGGCTGGTGTCCATTTGTAATAGATGAACTACACTTTTTGAAAAATCATTGCCCCAGTTAGGAAATCCTTCCTGGCAGTGCTGGCAGGAATGTTGCATAGAAATCCTGCTGGAATTCGTGGGTTTGGGCACTTGCTCAAATTCCACTTACATTTTTGTTTTCTCAGAGGAAGATAACAAGTAATGAAATAATGTGCTAAAACTTAGAAATAAGAATGAAGGCAAGAAGTCGTAGCTGTAAAGAGCACAATATTCACTTGTATTTGTGCAGAGAGTACAATAGTTTCTTAGATTGTTCTAATGAAGACACTACATCTGTACTTTCCTCTTTCTGCCCCCTCCCAAATACTTTCTTTTGTGTATAGATTATACACAAAAGTCTTTTCTCTCTTTTCCCCCTCAGTGTATCAAACACACTTTGAAATGCTAATTATTCCATTTACTTTCATTAAAATTCAAATTGCTGAGTGAAGATGCGATAAGGGTCGCCTGATAATCAATCTGAAGTGAAGATATTGCTTCAATTATGCCTCTGTCTTTTAACAAGGAAATCACAACTCTGGGATTGCTGTAGATGGTGGGGGCGCAATGGTCTGATTGTAGCTTGGTTTTTAATGGGCTGTTTGGAGCTCTATTTTGTATACCTCTGACCACAAGGAAAAAAAAAAAAAAAAACGGTAGTAAATTAGCAGACATAAAAAACAGAAAAGAGTAACCTCAATTTCCTCCAGAGTGGCCCTGGGAAAAAAAGAGGCCAAATCAGAGCAAACCTGTAGGTCCAGAAATATTTGTCATACATTTTCTATGCTGAGTTGGAGAAGGGATATTAGAGATGAACATATTTTACAATTAGTTGTAATTTTCTAAAAATGCAGAAAACAACAGTTTAAAAAAACAAAGTTGAGAAAGCTTTAAAGTTAGGAATATATGAATACACCAGCGCTGCTTGCTCAGAGCCTTCGTGCATATGTCGTATTCACATGTCGTCGTGGTATATATGTTTGTTACCAAATCTCCCCAAGGTCAGAAGGGATAGACGCTATGTTTCTCACCTGCTATCCTGTCTGCTGTTTATGGAGAGAAAGCGTGGAGTGATGCTTGATGGAAGAGCTTGCTAGCTTAGTGCTTTCTAGATGAGTGTTTATGCTTTGTATGAACGACTGAAATACAGATAGCTAGTCTACCTTATGTCTGATTGGCAACCTTTTCGAGGAAAACAGAATGCTTTTGTTGTTTGTTTGTTTTTTCCGAATCTTTTAGTGACTGTATAATGGAGAGATCAAGTTCAATTTAAAAAAAAAAAAAAAAAACAACCCAAAAAAGACATTGTTTTGTGTTGGATGTTGCTTAAAAATATGAGGAAAGATGACGTCAGAACAAATTTCCTTCCTTTCATCACATCAAGCATACTTTTGGTACAGTTTGAATATATTTTATTTTTACATACTTGTTTTGAGTGGGATGGCAAATTGCCTTTTCTCAGGGAAACAATGATTTATTAGACTGTAGCTGACTTACTGACAGACATATTGTGTGTGTGTGGATTTAATTAGTAAAAATAAAACTAATTCAGTTTTGTGACCTAAAAACTTCCTTGAAGAGCTAGCTCAGAGCTGCATGCTGTCAAGGAACATGTGCTATAGAGAGTTCTAAACTGTATCTGAGCAGAAAATGGAGTTAAAAATCACCTAACCTGACTATTCTAAAAAATAGATTGCAAAAAAGAAGAAAACAAATTCAGCAGTTTGTTCTCTGTTTTATGGAGGTGATGGGTACAGACCAACTGAAAATGAAAAAGCCTGACTTGCTGACTTTCTGCTCTGAGGTCGGAATCTCTGCTCCGAGGCCCTCTTTGTCTCTTGTTCAGCCCTTGTGGAGCCTTGTGTCCTAAGGTTCTCAGAGTTGAAACATTGTGGAATTTCAAATGCACCTGCTGTTCTGGGTCCCCTTGGGTAAAGCTGTGTTGTGAGATGGTATTTTGACCTGCTACCAAAAATGATGAGGGGTCAGCTTTAGATTTCTGTTACTTGGTTTTTATAATGTAGTTGGTGATGATTTTCTGCACTGAGGGAATGACAGTTTTCCTCCCAAGAGATGCAGAACCAGCTAAGCCCCTGCAATCCTTCACTTATTTATTACTACATATGTATCTGTTTTATATGTATGCACACCATCCAGACAAGAGCAAATGTTCCCAGATTTAATGAAATCTGATGAAGCACCTTTTTAACTCTGCAATATTATTCTACCTTCATTGGTAAATGAGCCAAACCAGTGATCCATGCAGTTTAAATGCAAAATGCTGAAGTGAGCCCGAAACCTGGAGAGGCGGCTGTTCTCTTGACAATAAGCTAGTTGTGTTTAATGGAATGAAACACAGTTATAATGATTTCTTTCACAGGTCATGTTCAGTTTAAAAACTGTTGATAGATTGAAATAGGCTAAATATCATTTATCTTTTATTTATAAGAAGGAGAACCAGGACAATTTCTGTGCTTTCTATAGTTAATATTTTGTGTTTTGTTTTGAATCAGTGGTATCTCACATTTTCTTAAAGCTTTCCTCAAGTTCTCTCGAACGAGCAGGGGGGATGTTACGCATCCAGTTTGATCTTGTCATTTGTCCTACTAGCCACTGTGTTTTTAAATTAGAGTCTCTGCGAGATCACACTGTTGGAACAACACACAAATTGTAGTTTTAAATCAGTAATATGATCTAATTAGAAATGATGTTTTCATTTCCTGTATTATTAAATTGAGTCATCTGACTATCTTAAAATGCTTTTTAAATCCATTACACTATATAATCAGTGCATGCTGTGTGAATGTGGTTATGCTTAATAAAGGAGGCTGGCTTGGAACCTCATAAGACTTTCACCAAAGAAACTACCATTTACAAAGAAAAGTTTTCTTGGTATGAACATTGGAAAAGAAAATGTTGGGCCTGTAAAAATAGAAAATGTTGATTCCTTTGGAAACCCCCCTACCTGCTCTCTTTTTTTAACCTAGCTCTTTGAGGGGGAAAAAATGATACAATGTATGTATGCATATTTTTAAAAAGCACTCCCCTCAAAAAAAAAAAACACGACCCTTAAGAACCAGGTGTGCCATGGCGCTGTA